AAATAATGCAGTATCAAAACGCTAGAAGAACCTGCACTGAAATATATGTATTTATATTAAACAACGTGTGCAATATGAAGGCTGCCATTACCAACCTTCTCTTCAAAATACTAGTTGTCTAGGTGTCACAGGTCTCAAAACTTACTAAAACAGGAAGTGTGTGGGGAACTCAAGAGAAAAGCATATGATTTACACACTTGTTCTTGGTTAGTGACTCAGAAGGCATTGAAAGCAGAAGAAAGGCGTGAAAGTCGGGCAACTAGCATCTTCAGGAGGAAAAGTAAGTAGTGACAAACTCAATATTTCTCTCAGTGTAAAAATCTTCTCACTAAAGCAGAAGGAGGTCTTTATTGTAAGGACAAGGCAGACTATGGAATCCTCTGCAAAACAAAGTTGCAATGTCCAGAAATATGAGTGAATTTCAATGTGGTTTGGATGTCTTTCTTTTAGAAATGTCACCAGTGTATTTAGTAGGATTTAACTGCTAACAAATAAGGAAAGTATTTTCCCCTTGGTGAGGATAAATTGGCAGCTGTAGCAAGCACTGGTTTATTAATTTACTTTCTTCTTAACCAACAGTGATATACTTGGTTCCCTACATGTATGGGAGCACATGACCTTTTACCCTTCCTGCCATGATGCAGCACTTGGTGCATGGGCAAAACAGGCCTGAGGGTCAGCAGATAGGGGCAGGGAAGGTACTTAGCCCTTTGTAAACTCTTTGCAGCTTATGCAGGTCTCTTCTACTTTGCTTTATGGAAACAGTCTCTGGAGGAGCAAACAGAAGTAGTAAATGGGAAGGGGGGTGCTAATAAACTGGACCAAACATCAGATATATTTTTTATGTTATCTACATGCATGCTAAGTAACATGTAAGTGTAACACTTACCAGTTAATTAAATCACAGTACTGCCTCTTATAATGCCTAATTTTCTTTTATGAGAAGTATGGAGTCATCTTTGTTCAGGCATTTTCCAAGGTCAGCATCTTCGTGGACTAAGATACTGGCTCAGAGATGGTGCAGTCATGTAAATCCTGCTATCTGTGAACTTCTTGGCTGTATTCACAAATGTCTGATGCAGACCAGCCCACTGCAGCAGTCTTTTACTTTGTGACCTCCTGCAAATTTACAATGTGAAGTCTAATCACTGCTAGAGAGGAGACTGAGGAAATGTTTTCCCCTGTCTGCAGCAAACTGATGATATCATCTCAGCTTAGGCATAGTGAATGCTTTAGTTTGAAATCAATTATACGTCATTTTTTATATTCCCAACTTGGCTTAAATTTTACATGAATCCCTTTCTGTCAGCCCTTTAAGAGCGTCTTGAGGCTGGAGACATTTCCTGAACTTCCAGAGCATGTGATTGGCTTTCACAGTGATCCCTTGATCAGGAGCCAGTTGTTGGCTTCCGATCACAGGATCACTGCAATTCTGTTTGACCAGGAGCTGACGGGGACAGTGCTCCCAGCACAAAGGTACATGTATATGTGGCAGCACGGTAACGGCCCACCTCCTGGCTTATGTGTACAGTTGGTGCGAATGGGTTAAAAAATCCTATTGTTCTACCTGTTAAAATGAAAATCCTATTGTTTGCTCAAAACTACATGATACCTCCATACATGTCAGCTGAATACATAATATCTGCATTAGATTCATTGTATGGAACATAAAGGGCAAGGAGTATTACTGAGCTGCTTAAAGGCTTCTGTTAGGCCAATCACAACTAATGAAGAGGAAAGCTGCACCATATTTTTAGATGTCTAGAAATAGTCATGGGCTACAGCTTGGGCTGGGAACACCTTGTGCAGGCCTGGTGAGCAAAGGAAAAAAACAAAACACAAACTGCCAAGCAACCAGCAGAACATAAGCTGAATATTTGGAACTGTGACAAACATAGAAGATTAGCCACAGTGGATATTGCCAAATTTCTACAGACTTTGTAGGTTACAATATTAATAATAAACACATCAGCAGTAAGAATAGAATGGCTAATACTAAATATTAGCAAATTCACCTTATCAAGGCCTGGACACATAAAGAGAGATTCATGGGAAACATTGCCTGCCTGCATACTATGTGCCATTTTCATAACCAATTACAGTAGCAGTAGGTGTCTAATTAACAAACTAGTGTGCCCTGTAGGTGGCAGGTGCCTAAAGTGAGTTACAATTAAAACGTATTGCTTAGGGTTACAATTGTAATCAAAATAATTCAACCTTTATTGAAAATCAGGTTTATTCTCAAAATTTACCGACTTTCAGCTGTTTGCAATGAACAAATCAAACAAAAGCAATTGAAAGCAACTTTTAATAACTTCTCCGGTCTCAAAATTATTCAACCCCTTCATGTGAAACATCTTCAGTGCCTAGTAGGACACCCTTTTGTTGTTATGACGTGCTGCAAACGAGATGCATAGCCAGACACCAGCTTCTGGCAGTGTTTCTGAGGACTCTTAGCTCATTCCTCATGAGCAATGGCTTCCTGTCCTGTAAACACAACATGAAATGAGAGTGTCGCACTGGTCCCCTTAAGGCCCCGTTCACATTGAGCGATTCGCAAATCTCGCGTTTGTCACGCAAAATGCAAATCGCACGATATAGCGCGATTTGTCGCGCAAATGCTTGCATCAAAAACCATTGAATCGCGACAAATCCGCTCCAAAAAGGGTCCTGCTGTAGCGACACACGACCCGCAACAGCAGGACCCTTTGCCCCATTGCAAAGCATTGAAGAGCGATATCGCGCTGTAAATAGCCGCGATATCGCGGGAATTACCGCCCGATAAATCGCTCAATGTGAACGGGGCCTAAGAGTTGCTGAATTGTACAAGCCTGCCTTTCTATTGAGGATTTGCACTAGAGTTGCACCCAGACACTAACTAACCCAACTAACTTCCACTTTCTCAATCTTCTGATAGGCCAGACGGACAGCTAATTTTAAGTGTCTTTAGCCCTTCTCACAGGCTAGTTCTGTACCTTTAAGCCGAGACTGGCAACTGACTAATCAGGACTCTTCTTCAGCTTCCTTCCCCAGGCAGCAGGTCTGAGCAGCATGAACTGCACTTCTCTCTGGAGATTTTTCCTTTGGCAGCAGGCCTGGGAGGCAAGGACCTCTGAACTACAGACTGGATCCTTCACACACACATATTCTCAAGGCAAAGCCTGGGAGGGAAGGATCCTTCTAGAAGATCTGTCTAAATATTTATCCCCTTCCCTACTTTATCTACATCACTGGTATGAACCACTCAGTGATTGGCCCGGATGAAATAAATATTCATAACCTACAACATTTTTTTCTTCCCCACATCCAATCGGTATCCAAATCCTGCCGCCTTCACCTTCGTAACATCTCAAAAATACGCCCCTTCCTCACCAATGACACCGCAAAATCTACTCATACACTCCCTTGTTATCTCTCGTCTTGACTATTGTAACTCCCTCCTCATTGGCCTTCCACTACACAGGATATCCCCCCTGCAGTCTATCATGAATGCAGCTGCCAGACTCATTCACCTTACCAACCGCTCAGTGTCTGCATCCCCCCTCTGCCAATCCCTCCACTTGCTTCCACTCGCCCAGAGGATAAAATTCAAAATATTAACAGTCACCTATAAAGCCATCCACAACTCCGCCCCCGGATATATCTCAGACCTTGTCTCAAAGTATCACCCTAACCGTCCCCTCCACTCATCCATTGACCTCCTGCTTTCCAGCTCCCTTGTCCACTCCTCCCATACTCGCCTCCAGGACTTCTCTAGAGTCTCTCCCATCCTCTGGAACTCTTTACCCCAACCTGTCCGTCTATCTCCCACCTTGACTGCCTTTAGGCGTTCCCTAAAGACTCATCTCTTCAGGGAAGCCTATCCCACCTCAACCTAACCACTGAACCTTCACATTTTTACATAATTCATTCCCACAGCTACCTCATGTATCATTTCCCCCTCCTCTTTTAGATTGTAAGCCCTCAGGGGCAGGGCCCTCCTTACCATCTTGTCTTGAATTGTATTGTAACTGTAATGTCTTCCTTATATTGTAAAGCGCTGCGCAAACTGTTGGCGCTATATAAATACTATGTAATAATAATAATAATTTTATCTTTTTGCTCTATCCACTAGAGAACACACCCAAGCAGCAAGCAGAAGAAAACAATGTCCTGAGCTTAGGGAAGCTCAGCATACCCAGATAAGATAAACAGACAGAGCTTAGGCTGGTTATAACCCAGCTAAAAACACTAAATTAAGACTAGGACCACTACAGTTAAAGGCAGGAAGAGGAAATTGCTTCAAAGTGAATGTAATACCCTCTTAGCACTGGCGGAGCTAGGGAACAAAGGGCCCTGGTGCAAGATTTTTTTTGCCCCCCCCCCCTACACCCCCAAAAACAGCGCTCTCCTTTCGCACCGCCTGCACCGGCGGTAGTTCCGCCAACTGCCTCTTAGACAGTTGTTTGTCACTGGAACAAGTATCACCACTGGAAGTTTACCTCTCTATTTCTGTTTTGGTGATAACTAAGAAATGTTGGGTTTTTAAATCTAGTGATCCCAGGGGTCACCAGGACAAATAGAGAGAGTATATCTTCCTAGTGGGGACACAATAAAAACCTCATAGAGGTTTCGACCTCTCACCACTCTAAAAAAAGTGTGCCTATGCATACACTTTAAAAAGGTTCCACGAAATTTCAGAGAACAAATTGGTTCATGTGCTGGCCTCAGTGCACTTCCAGAAATATTGGAAAGGAGACCTAGTAACATGGCTACTGTGTATGCAACCAAATAATCTTGTAAGATGGAAAAATATAAGCACCAAGAGGCATTTCAAGCAATTCAATGCAAGAAAATAGACCATGTGGAATAGTCACAATACATTATACAATTTAAACATTACAATTTATTAGAAGCTACTAACAGTTTGCTGGAATAGAGTATATCTATCAAAGACAGAGGTTTTATCTTGTCTTTTTGTCTGTACAACAGCCTATAAAATCTATATCATATGTTATATTTTATATTTCTCTTTGTTCCATGCTCTCTTTTTCAGCCTTCCATGTTGCATAATGCCTCTGATATACGGACTCCTGGAAGGTTCTTTCCACTAGCCAATTGAACTCTGGACTCTTTTCTTCCAAGGCGTTAAAGAGATTTATTGGAAAGGGTGTCTTGTCTCTTGGCAGGTAATTGTCTCTCGGTCTCACTGGGATCACAGTATTATATTTATGGTACATTTGAATGGAATTGATTAACGTGGCATGCGACTGGAACTCACACCAAGTCTCTTTGAGGAAGTTCTCAGTGAGTAGTATAATAGTCCAGGCTGATCCATTCACTGCATTGTCCAGTGTTTTTAATATATGCTGGCCTGCAGGCATTTCTGCAAATATAAGTCCTGGCTTGATGTGGAAAGTGTCTTGCAGCAAATCCTTCATTCTTATAGCCTCATGTATATCTGTTTCAGCATGAAGAATTACAAATTTATAAAACACTTCTTCATTATCTTCATAGAGTTCATGTGAAGAACACATTTGTGGTGTGACTGAATTGTCTTTTGAGGGGCATGTAGGTTCTTCCTTACTGATCTGAATTTCATCTGTTCTGCCAGCATCTACTGGAGGTTTCCTTCGCCGATTAATGTTTCCCATTGTGTTATTTCATTGTCAGCTTTTAATATGTACTAAAATAAATAGAGGGAAGTTTACTTACTTTATGGAATCAGATGTAGACAAGCTAAAAGAATGTGCAATAACACAGAAAAGCACAGACAATACATTGCAATACATAGGGTAAATATTAGATCACATTAGATGCCGTAGGTGTATTAGACAGCTCTATTTAATGTGCAGAGTGATGTAATAACAGGTTCATCCCACAATGTTTATCTCAAATGTACAAGACTCATATTGTCTTTGCTGTTCCTCAAATTAGCAAAGCATATATCACCATGTTTCTTCATGCCAATCTACTCATGCCTTCCTGCTATCAGAGCTGTCTGTCCCCATCGACCATTCTTGTCATTTACACCCAACATTTCCACTTGACCCAGATATGAACAATCTTACTGCACAATAACCCATGTTTGAGGTTAAAAGTTTATCAGGTGTGTTCAGTGGTGTCCCAAGTCTTTTTGCCATCTAAGGCAGGGGTGGTGCACGCAATCAGAGCAGCAGGAAGTTGGTAGAGGATACAGCACCACCAGACACGAGTGTGGCGCCGCCCTCTGCATCTCCCTGCTGGGCTCATAGCAACCTGGGACTCTCTGGCTGTGTGCCTGCCCAGCTCCTGACAACCATTGACATTATTGGTTGCCAGTAGCTGAGCGGGACACCAGCCAGAGCATCACAGGTTGCTAAGAGCTAGGCAGGGAGATGTGTACGGCCCTTACACATCTTCCTGCCCGCCTCTTAGCAACCTGGGACACTCTGGCCAGAAAGGGGATGACAGGCACGCTGAAAACGTGCAGCAGAGCGGCCAGTATACAACAGACATGCCACTTATTAAAACAGTGGCCCAGAAGAAAAACACCTTATATGCCCCGTAAAAAAATAGGTATACAGATTTGTTAGGCGTGTAAATTAGCCATGTTCTTGTTAACTGTTGTAAGTTTAGTTAACCGACGCTTGCTGACGCTGCTAAACTTGGCCTGGGTATGTAGGCAGTAAAAACCTATGGCCACAAAAGGGTTAATCAAAGTTATAAGCAACATCTGGTAAAATACTTTATATCAGTTAGCAGCATTAGGGCTTGCCTAAATCCACAGTGTTCTCTCTAAAGGCCGTCATTTAGTTACATAAATCTAGGCAATAAAAGGATTATGCAGTTTTTATTAGGAGATGTTTTGTGTACTGACTTTAAAGTAGGATATAGCATAAGAAGCCTTAGGCAATTTTTATAGAGCTTTATGCAGTTGAAGTCTGGGACATATTGGAATAATGTCAATCATTTGAACAGTTTTGAAACATTTAACTATTTCTGAATTGTTTGTAAAAGTATATCTAAAATCAAAACTATCTGCTTTCTGAATCTGCTATCTATCTGAATGATCATTGACATCAAATAGAAACTGATGGCAAATCCAATATTTTACGCCTGTTACTGAAACACGAGATGAGGGAAATCTTCTAATGGGGATACATGTTCTGATGACAGCTGTGTATAAGGTGATTTCCCCTTACTTTGGAGAGATTTCATTTCACTCACTGTTGTGTGTCTGGCATAGAAATCAGAGAATCCCTTGTAATTAATTGATAAATAATACTAGGCATTCTTTGAATGGCCGCTGTGCCGAGTGAGCAATCCCTTGTGTTTTCAGAGCAGAGGGGAAGTCACTCCACAGCACAGCACCAGTACAGGACCTGGAAGATCACTGTCAGCACTGTAGTAGCTCAGGCTACTACAGTACTTTACAGGATCCCCATGGGCTGCCCAGGTATTGCATACTGTATACATACCGTGTTTCCCCGAAAATAAGACAATTTTTGAGGTCAAAATTTTTTGACCTCAAAAAAACACACTAGGTCTTATTTTCGGGGTAGGTCCTTATTTTAATTTCTTATGTACAACAATCCACACTTATTTATGTACAACAGTCTACATGTATTCATGTACACAAATATGGTGATCAGTGGTGCAGTACCTTTCCAAGAGCAATTTGCTAACCAATCGCTGGCCAGAATGAGCGAAGCGCACTTTCACTATCGATTCCTCACAGGCGGAGTGCATTTGGTATCACTCCGCCTGTGACAGGAGTTGGCATTGGCTTATGCGGCTCTGCTCCCTCCAGTGCCGCCTTGCTTCCTCTATAGCTGGCTTAGTTGGCACCGCTGAATTGTCTCCCGCGGCTCTTCAAGTTCCATCTTATGCCACCACCGGCCCTGGAAATGGTCACAACTAGGTCTTATTTTCGGGGTAGGTCTTATATTTTAGCAATTCCCAAAAAATAGTACTAGGTCTTATTTTCGGGGTAGGTCTTATTTTCGGGGAAACAGGGTACTTACATGGGGCCAAGCTGGACCAATGTAAATATGCATAATAATTTATACCTGGAGTTCAGGTTTAAAAGGTTATGGTTCTATTATACATTTACGCTGTTTTAGTTTTAAAAAGCCCCCAGTTTTGGACCTTCATCTTGGGCTTCCATTTTACTAAAACACTGCAGGTGAAAGTAGGTATTGCGATTTCGCCATACCACTAGAATGTCTAGAAACAAAAATGTGATATAAGTATGGAATGATCTTATGTGTAGGCCCAGTGGTCTATTTAAAGAAAGGCCAGTAAACAATACACAATCTACAATCAGAAAAAAATGATAAATGGTTACTGTGGCACAATTCTAGCTTATGCTCCTTGTCTGTCAGTCATTTAGTCAGAAAAGAAATGCAATGGTTCTCCTAGAAAGAGCCATTCGATTTCAAATGCCTCAATCACTGTCTGCTATCTGAATTTGTAATATTTAATCTGTAATTCTAGTACAAAGTTGACTGTTACCACCATATGCACGTGGTCAGTGCTCACATTTCTTATACCCAGTGTCGACATGATCACCAGACAGCTGCTTGATCAGAAGTTATAAGTAGGAAATTTTAGTTGAGATGGTTGACACTATGAGGCTATTTATACACTGTAAACAAATTGCATTTGATGCAATACATAGTTCTGGGGAATCTATGATGTCTTTCAGTCAGCTGTGTAATATAATCTTTGCTTAGTGTCTTCTGGGTTGACCCTAGGGCTTTCATGCAGACAGATATGCTTAGTAGTGATGGGCCGAGTGTTCGATTCGAACATGAGTTCGAATCGAACATCGGCAGTTCGAGCGCTCGTCGAACGCCGAACTTTATGGGATGTTCGCGGTTTGTTCGACCGCAGACATTCCATAATTTAAAATGCCCACTGAAGCTCTGATTTGTTAAAGTCTTGCACCTGACCACAGGTCAGGTGCAAGACTTTGTCCCAATCAGTGCTCAGCGGAGGAGGGGCCTGAAGGAGAAAGTTCTCCATCAGGTCCCCCATGCTGATTGACAGCAGGCAGTGGGCGGGTGCAATAGCCAGCTTGCTATTGGCTATTGCATTTTACAATATCCAATATGGCTCCCAGCCTGCAATGAAGAGGAAGCAGGGGGGCGGGGCAGAGGAGCCGCGGCCGGACCGGATCGTCGACGGACCAGGGGACCGGAGGCCGGGACAGCAGCGGACGGACCAGGCGACTGGAGGCCGGGACAGCAGCGGAGGTAAGGGGGGCAGCGAATGCATGCAGTGGTCTGTGTTTGAAGGGACACAGGCCGCTGCAGCCACAGTTTTCCTACATGTACCGGCAGCTGTATGGGGGTCGAACATTCGACCCCCATACACTTGCATTGAGTTCGAATTCGAACATTTCGGCCGTTCAAATGTTCGAATACGAACCGAACACGGGGGTGTTCGGCCCATCCCTAATGCTTAGAAGTACTCCGATGGGAGTCACCCAGGTAGCATATGTGTAATATGCCTAAATCACCTCAGCAACATTTTCACAATTTTAACAGGCAAAGGGGTTGATTTACTAACCCTATAAACACGTCACGAACAAGTATACACCTCTGTAGTTTGTTCCCTCCCAGCATGATCTATGGGTGGAATCTAGACACCTTTGTAGTGTGTACACACCCAGCAGGTGTGTTGTGCAAAGCCCTGCATGAATTGCAAGGTGATGTTGTGTAAATTAGCTCTACGTTGTGTTGCTTGCGTTGATGAATGCAGGAATGTAAATGCATGAGCTAACCATTTTTGTCTAAACTGTGAAGCAGCATTATATATGCATCATGTGCATGATTTTTCCATATATGGCATTAGTGGAAATATGCTTTTAGAGACTTGCATGCCGCTATTAGAGCGGCGTGTAGCCTATGGCGCATGCTACATGACGCACACGTACGTAAATACATAAAAACGCGTCATAACGGCGTGAAAATGTGACACGTTGCTCGTGTTTGGTTGATAAATACGTTTTGCTGTGTAAAAATGCACACACACCTGGTGCGTGCATGTGTTTAGGTTAGTAAATCACCCCCAAAGTCTCATATCTAAAGCAATCCCAGAGGAGTCTATGGCATGCAGCATCTAGAAAGTTGAAGCTACCAACCCAATCAGCTTGTCAATCTTGAGTTCTATTTTCCCATCATTTGGGAGCATGTTCTTAAAATATACAACCCACTTCATGGAAGGCATACTTGTCCCCAACAGAAGCAAGTCTCTCTTTTTAAAAGTGCATGTCAGGGTAAAATAAAATACATATTTACTATATCTCTGCAATACATGCACATTTCTCCATGTTTTATTTATTTAAAAAGTATGAGTAACAGAAAATAACTCTTGAGATAACAACACAGAGTATTTGCTTCAGTGAAATCCCAAACAGCATGGTCAGCTTTGTCTGCTGGACTGTAAAAATCCTCATATTCCCGTCCCTATCTGTTCCTCTCTACATGCATACATTGATTTTCTTCCCACTCAGGTAATCCTTTTGCCCTGGCTACCAAGAGCCCGCCCACACACATTATTTAAGAAAAGGGCTCCTTGGAGATCTAGTTCTAGGGGGTGTGCCTATGCCAGTAGGAACTGAGCTCCAAACATCAGAAGCCTTGTGATGATCATGCCTATATAAATCCTTTA